TGTGTTTTTCTAGGAATACTTGGATCGGAGAAAAATGACTGAATTTGGCAGCTTGGCTCTGATTGATGAAGGGGGTGGAGGTGATGAGGGTGTTGCAATTCCCCTTCCTGGAGTAAAGAGAGGTATGGCTTTGGCTTTGCTCTCTTGTTGCTAGTTTTATGTGGACCAAAATCTTTCACATGGATAGGAAGGGTTTGATTTGTGGAGCTCAGTTTTAACATTACAATTACCTGGGTGTTACACACAAGGATCTGTCACACAAGTGTTCAGCTGATCCTTTTGCATAGTAGAAGCAACAGGAAACAGGAGATGCAGGATCTCCTGGGTAAGGAACCCAGCAGTCCTCATTTAATTTTCAAAGAGCAAAATTCAGTCCCACCACCTGAGCTGTAGGATGATCTCTCAGACGTGGACTGTGCCTTATCCAGTCTTAAACTCTGCCAGTTTTTGCCCTGTTCTGCATTATTTAGAGGTTATATCATAGTTGGATTTGATAACTAGACTGTGAACTTTTGGTGAACATATTAAATCACTTCTAAACTTCTCTTTTAGGTGACATGAGTTACCGACACTTTAAACCTGAAATAAGAGTGACTTGTGTGCGATTCTCTCCTACAGGTGAGTGTCGACAATTAATTTAGGATTTTTGCATTCCTTATAAAACAAGCAAAAGAGCAGAGCCTTGGAGGAGTAATAATGAAGTGCAAATGCCTTGGAGATCTTTGCAGATGTAACGTAGTGCTACTAGGTTCATAGCCTGGTTTTCTGTGCAGTGGGTAATTAGGAAAGTTAAGTGTATGTCACTTTGAGCTGGTGTTTTTTACAAGCGTTGCCATTGCTGACAGGTCCATCAAAGATGCATCTTTTAATCATACCCATTTCTTGCAAACAAATGAGTCATCTGTTCATCATTACTCTTCTGTTTCCATTCTAGAAAACTCAGCTTTGTTGTTAAATATTGTTACTTCTCTTCTAGGACGAAGCTGGGCAGCCACCACCACAGAAGGTCTTCTGATCTATTCACTGGACTCTGGACTGATTTTTGATCCTTTTGAGCTGGATATTGATGTCACACCCAGCAACATACACAAAACACTGCGCCGGAAGGAGTACACAATGGCCATCATCATGGCCTTCAAACTGAATGAAAAGAAATTAATTCAGGAGGTCATAGAGGCTGTTCCTAGCAGTGAAGGTAAGTGGATCTTCCATGGAATTTGGCTGAGCTAGCTGTAAGCAGAGATGTGTAAGCCAAAATAAGTTGAGGTGTAAAGGACTCTTGGACAGGGAAGTTCACACCTAAGGACTTCTTGCTGTAGCTGGAGACTAAAAGGGATGATCCAAATAGTAATTCAATTCTGTTGAAGTCTATGGGCTTTTTTTCCCTTTTTGCACAGTTGATGTTATCTGCTCATCGCTCCCAGACCTGTATGTGGAGAAATTATTGGAGTTCCTGGCCTCTGCATTTGAGATCTCCTGTCACTTGGAGTTCTATCTTATTTGGGCTCATAAGTTGCTCATGCTGCATGGACAGAAACTGAAAACAAGGTGAGATCTTGTGAAAGTCTAAATGCTCACAAGCATTTTAAAATTAAAACCCGTCAGTTTTTACTTAACATCTACTGACATTCTAGATAATGCATATTCAACAGTTAGAATTATTTAATTTTTACAACTTCTTTACTAATGGTAAAAGCGATGATTTGAACTCGATCCTAAAGATCTTTTCCAACCTAAATGATTCTGTGATTCTAACAAGTGTGTATGATAGAATTGGAATAAGTTATTGGATTTGTGAAGAGATACTACCAAAACATTTTCAAATCTGATAGATAAAACTTTGCATAGCTTCCTTAGCCTATAAATGCATAAAGATTTCAAGAGTGATAGTAGGTTTGACAATTGAGTTTTTCAAACAGTGATGCATCTTAAATGTCACTGAAAGGTAATTTGCAGGTACTGACTGCATTTATATATGTATATAAGCTTGTGATTATAGCATGAATTCTTAGCTGTTAGTACCTTTCCTGTATAGTTCTCTAGCACTACTTGGGCCTGGTCTGTGAATTATATTTAGCCCACTCATAGTATAGAATTTATAGGCATTTAGGAAAAAAATAAGGCAAATTTACAAATTTAAAACAGGCTAAGTGAGAGATAATATGAGAAGGAGTCCTGCATGTTAAACACCAGTGCACTGTGTAACTCTTTCCTTGCTTCAACATTGGTATTAATGTTTTAGTTACTGGAATGACTGGAAGAAGTTTCTCCTTTTGTTGCTGTTCAAGTAGAAGAGGATGATTTAAAACAAACTCTTCCTTGCACAGAAAGTATTGTAGTACCAGGAAGAAACTCTCATTGCTACCAGCAAGCAGAATTAGTTCTTCAAGCCACAGTTTGACATTAGAAAAAGATATTTCTGACATTACTTGTATTGAGTATTACTTGTATTATTACATTATATTACTAGTGTTGAGTACTCTGACCTTATTGAGGGAAGAGTCAAAAGGAAAGAGCTTTTATTTATTTAGTATATCTTTAAAAGTTTGCTTTGAAAAGTTAACATGTACGCTTGTTAAAATCTTGAGACTGTAGAAAGGATTTCCATACGTAAAAACGAATTGCACTGCAAATGGTGTGTTTTCTCTATTCCAGGTCAGTGAAGCTGCTCCCTATGATCCAGTTCCTCCAGAAAAGCATCCAGCGTCATTTCGAAGATGTTTCAAAACTGTACGTGTTGTTACATTTAAACTTTTAAATCAAAAACTTGGAGTAATTTGGGGGATGATAGCATGTTATTGGAACTAGAGAATTAGAGGCAGTCTTCTTCTAGAGGTGGGTTTTTTTTTCTGGAGGAGAATGCACCTTGTTTCTGAGGTGTTCCTGTTTGTTTTTACAGCTGTGAGTGGAACATCTACAACATCAAATACGCGCTGGCCATTTCACAACAGCGGGGCATGAAACGTCTGGCTGAAGAACCATCAGTAGATGAAGAAGAGTTGGATTCTGACAGTGACTATCTTATGCAAGAGGTTCATAAAGACAAATTGAGTTCCTAGTTACTCTGCATGAGAGGGAGAAAACCCTCAAGGCAGTATTTTATGCAGTGGTATTCACTGAGAAGGAGTGGCCCTCATAGTGGCATCTATTAGCTCTTCCCAACAATATGGATGGAAATGTAGGATAGGCAAAGTGCCATCCATGGCATAAATCATGTATCCCTTGGCTATAAATTCGACAGCATTGATTTCTTGTTGATTTCTTTTTTTTTTTTTAATAATTTCTGATTTCAAGCAAGGAAAAAAAAGTGTTCTTAGTGAGGTTAAAAGTACGGCTGGAAGAAGTTTATTAAAAATGCTTTGTACATTAAGTATTGTGAGTTTTGTAATGCAGACTTGTCATACATTGGACTATTTTTTTTTATCCTTTTTAAAAAGCATTCTTAATTGGAGGTCTGTCTGTTGCTCTCAACTTGTTTTAAATGTTGTTTTACTTCGATTTAATATTTACATATTTCTGGAACAGTTTTCTTAGTTCTCTAACTTCCAAACCTGATGAAGGTTCAAAAATGAGGATAAATGTTACATCCATAGCAATGACTATGAGAGAATATTTACTGTGATGTACAAATCTTATAGAGGTTTAATTACGAACCATAAGATACTGTAGTAAAAATTTGTTTGGACACTGCCAACTCAATGTAATTTAAACTTTAAGAGAATGTGTTACAAATGTGTTTGTTTTTTTTTTTAAAAGAAAACTTTTTCTTATCCTATTGGGTTTTTTTATGTTGTTTATTAGCACATTAAAATCTGGAATTTTGATTTCCTTGGGTTTTTCTGTGACTTGGTGGGAAAATTGACTAATAACAACAGTGAGATCCTGAATAACAAAGAACTGTATCTGTGCTTGTAATACTTTCAACTCACGTGTTGAAATGACTTTGCTAATTAAGTGACTGCAAGTATTAACAATGATCCAGAATTGCTTTTTTTCCCCCCAGCATATTCTGTTCTCTTGGATTTATTTTGTGGTCACTTTCCACTTTTGGAGTAGAGAAGAGGTAATTAAAACTGCTGAAGAGAAAAATGAGTCCAAAATATACAGTGAACACATACAGTCAATTTGTAGAATTTCAGTGTATAAATTAAAGATACACTTTAATTAAAAGTGATTTGTTTTTCTTAGAGTAGAATATTCTTTTAGGTAATTATAACAAATTTTATAATGCACAGGAAAGCAAATAAAATTTTCCCTCGTGCCCTTCCATAGTCATAGGTAGAATAATGAAAATTCAAGTATGAGGTTTTAAATTTGGTGGGTCCAAAGTTTGGCTTGATCCTTCTGCTTTTTGGTATGGTTTGTGAGCCTGACAGCCTCCGGGTTGGCTGGAGCCAGGCTTGGAAGCAGCAACCTTTCCCTTCCTCCAGGGCAGGTGGAGACTGCACCTGTAGACTTGCACCTTGACATCAGATACAGATGTCTGTGTGTATTTCAGCAGGACTGTCTTTCTTATACATATCACAGAATGAAATAGGTTGGAAAAGACCTCCAAGATCATCGAGTCCAACCTTTGACCGATCACCACCTTGTCACCCAGACCATGCACAAAGTGCCACTTCCAAAAGCACCTCCAGGGATGGTGAATCCACCACCCCCCCGGGCAGCCCATTCCAACGCTTCACAACGCTTTCAGTGAGGAAATTTCTCATGATGTCCGTAGTTTGGTTTCCTTAATAAAGGAGGAAAAAGTAAAAACCAAATGGGAAGGGTAAAAGAAACACTAAAACCCGGTATTTCACGGGGTCCCTGAGAGGCAGCAATGCGGCTGCCCCTGTGTGTTGTTTACCCCATTTTCTTTAACAGCTCTGGCCTAGGGTGCCTCTTGCTGCAAGGCTTGTGTTCAAAATGAGTCCCGAGGGCTTATTTCCATGGGTTTTATTTTTACTGTTATTCCCAGAAAAGGAGGCTCGGGAAGGCAACAAGGGCCCTCAGGGGCCCCTCCGCGCCTCCAGGGGGCGCCGCCAAGGGCGCGGCGGCCTCGGAGCGCGGCCCTTCCGCGCCCGCCTTCTCCTGACCTGCTCCCCGTTCCTGCTCCCGGCTCCCGGTTCCTCCGCTCCCTTCTCCCACCGCCTGGCCATGCTGAGCTCCCGCGGCCCGGCCCTGTGCACCGCTCTGCGGCGGGCGGCGGGACCCGCCGGCCTCGCCTCCTTCCACTGCTCCGCCCGGCGCCGCCGCTCCGCCCGCGTCGCTGTGGTGAGTTAATGGAGGAGCCGCGGGGGCCGCGCTGAGGGGAAGCGCGTTGGTTTATTTCTCACCCTCTGCAGGGGGGTCTCTCCAGCGGTGGGGCGGGTGCAAGGAAGGGGCCGGGAAAGGCTCGCCCGGTGGCTGCGGCAGCTGGAAACCCTCCGGAGAAGCTGAATTCGGGAAGAGAAACCCGCCTAGAGCTGAGAAACTTGGAGGAAGACAGAGCAGGAGTGGGGAACGCGTAAAAATTGGCGTCTGTGGAGTTGTTGTTGGCCTGGAGTTGGTTTATAAAGAACCACAGAATGGTTGGAAGGGACCACAGTGGGTCATCTGGTCCCACCTCCCTGCTCAAGCAGGGCCATCCCAGAGGATTGTGTCCAGACGGTTCTGGAATATCTCCAGTGAGGGAGACTACACGGCCTCTCTGGTGTCTGTTCAGTGCTCGGTCACTGCAGAGGAAAGAAGTTCTTCCTCATGTCCAGGTGGAACTTCCTGGGCATCAGTTCCTGCCCGTTCCTCTTGTGCCATTGCTGGGTGTCCCCCCCCCGAGCAGAGCCTGGTCCATCCTCTGCCCCCTCCCTGCAGCCCCTACAGACCTGGGGGAGGTCCCCTCTCAGCGTCTCTTCTCGACGTTGAACAGCCCCAGCTCCCTCAGCCTTTATTCATAAGAAAGGTGCTCCAGTCCCTCAATCATCCTCGTTTCCCTCTGCTGGACCTGCTTTAGCAACTCCATGTCTCTCTTGTACTGAGGAGCCCAGGAGAACTTGAAATAGTTTATAATGTGACTAGGGGAGGTTCTGAGAGCGCACAGGAAAATATTTAGGCTGGGTTGTGCTCTTCTGCAGGAAGGAGGTAAAGCATGTCACAGATACAAAAGAAAGCCAGGAGATGGAGGAGCCAGAGGTTGCCAAAGGAAAATCAAGGCTGTAAGGTAGTGTCCCATCTGGACACACAGTTTTGGAGCTCAGTGAACAGCCCTTGAAGCTTGAGCTTTGTGTAGTCTAGATGGCATTAAACATAAAGAGATAAGAAGTCTGTTTGGGGCAGAGTTGGCTCTGGAATGGGCAGAATGGTGGTCCAAATGGCTAACAGGTAACCCACCAGGAATGCTGTCATTTTAGCAAGTCACAGCTTTTTAAATAGAGAGGGGAAACCAAATGTTATTTTTGACATTTAGTGACATAAATTTCTGACTAAGGTAGGAAACAGATTTGGCAAAAAGTACTGAAATAACAGAAGAGGACAGTGCTTTAGTATTTCGGTTTCAGTGAGTTTCAACAACATTTAAAAAGTGTTGCTTATGAAAGATAATTACAGCACAGTTGCTTATCTGTTTTTCACTCTAAAATAAAGATAAAATAAAAAGGTTGTGAAGTCAAAGGCAGCTCCTAAATATCCAAACAGGATTAACATGGACAGAAGAACATTCATGGATTTTGCTCATTTGGTGAAGTGGTGGTGGCATGTCATGACCCTGAGAGCAGAGAACTGGGTACTGGGGCCTGAAAGCCCCTTCAAGTGTAACATTTTTAACATTTCTAACTAAGACAGTTTCAGTTCTGAGTTTCTGTTCATGTGTCTGTAATTAAAAACTTTTGAGCTTCAAAAAACTGAGGTAAAACCAGGAGGGAAGAGTAAAGTGAAAAAGAAGAAAAAAAAAAAAAAGAGGAAAGGAAATTGACTTCCTAACTGGATTTTTTTCTTTCAAAACAAACAGCCAAACAAAAAACCCCACAAGAGTTCATCAATATACTTTCAGGAACTACATAAACCTTTGGATTTTTTTGTTTTTATTTTGTTATTATAATGGTTTTTCCCCCTGTTTTTTTAAAAATGTTTTTTCCTTTTCTACTTTGTCAAAGACTCTCCACTCACACAAGGGTAGATGATTGTTTGTGCTTTTTATCCTTCGGTGTGTATAAACAAATTTAAGGTATTATTACCAGTATTATTAAGGAAAAGCATGGCTAATGCAGCATAATTGCACTATTGCATTCAAAGTGATTTAGCTGTTGATCTCTGATGCAGATCCTCAGACAAAATACAGCAGCAGGTAAAGTAGTTATTCTCAGTACCACCTCGAAGTGCACTTTTATCCCACTTCTGATTGATGAGCATCTGGATGAGAAGGTGTTTCACATGGATGTGGACACTTCATTGAAAAGATGTATGACACTGAGAACAACCCACTGTGTGCACAGTAAAAACATACCTAAGGATAACACGTCAGTTTATTAACTGGGGAATAAATGTATAAGCCAGGAAATAAACCCTGGTTATTTGTGACCCCTGTGATGGGTTGCTATAAATAGGAAATGCCAGTTCTGCAGTGTGTCAAATGGTGACTCCAGTGCTCACAGCATCATGCTCACTGGATTAGTAAAGAGCTTGTTGCCAAGTTGTTCTTCTGGGGGATGAAGGGAGGTTTTTTTGTTGTTTGTTCATCCTTTTTGTTTGTTTGTTTTCATCTTACCTTGTGAAAGATCCTGTAGGAAGTTCTGTGTCACCTGAAATACTCTCTTGATTTTCTCACTGCAGGTCCTGTCTGGTTGTGGCGTCTACGATGGCACAGAAATCCACGAGGCTTCGGCGTAAGTTGCTTTATGAGATAGGCTCCAGAATAGTCTCTGTTACACTGCAGCAGTCTGTTTAATTTAGTTTTGCTGTCTCTGGCCATCAAAATTACTCTGAAAGATGTATGATGAAGCTTCACAGTTTCCTCACAGCATAACTGGAAGCTCAGGCTGTGTTCTTGCACTACTCAGTGATTGTCCAAAGATGCAGCACGATGTGTGTGATGCCAGAGCAAAGAGTTTGAGAGTATTTTCTTCAGAAGCAGAAATTCAGAGTTCCAGAATCAATCTCAAGAGAATTAAGTACAGACTTAATTTCGTAATCACTTTGAGTTTCTGTTCCTGTTACTACTTTTTGTTGAATTGTTAATACTTAAGTTGAATTATTAACTCCCTGCTGTGAATTAATAAAAGGTGTTTCATCTAGGCCTAGGTTAAATGTACACATGGGTATGTTAAGTGTGGGACTCTTCCATAACACCTTGGGAATTGGAGAAAGGAAGCTTTTATTGTTCCTGGTTGCCTTCTTAGAAGCACCAAACAAAATGACTTGTCTCCAGCTTACCTGACCCTTCCTCCCAACTGGCTTTGTGTTCTGCTTCACTGTGATGTTCCATACAGGGATTTTGCTTCTATGTGCTCAGTATGCTTTGGTAGGATGTGTCTTTTTTTCCTCTTCTTTCAAAATCAGGTGGTGGAATATTTGTAGCAAGACTTAGGGGCCAGGTAAAGCCTCTCTTTTAAGGTTTTCTGCGTGTTTTATCTCCTTTTTTGTAGTGTGCTGGTGCACCTTAGTCGTGGGGGAGCTGAGGTTCACATGTATGCTCCCGATGTTCCTCAGATGCATGTCATCGACCACAGTAAGGGGCAACCAGCTGAAGCTGAGTCAAGGTAAGTCTGTGTTTCATGTGTTTTCCGTGACTGCTGAGCTTCAGTCTCTTAGACAGTCTTCAGACTGCACTTGTAGCACTTTGCTGAATGCATCTGGTGTTTTGTTTGGAGAGAAAATATTAAATGAGTTTTCTGGACTCTATTATATGCAGTCTCTCAGGGCCTGTGTTTTCCAGTAGTAGTATTTTAGAAGTATCAGTAACTTCAATTGTTGAATACCACTGTTCTTCTTGCTTCCTCCCTTCCTCCTTGTCCTCTGACAAAACTTTATTCATGCTATTCTGTGTGCAGATTCTTAGTTTATCTCATTGTTTTATTTCTGGTTCTTCAAGGAATGTTTTAGTGGAGTCTGCAAGAATAGCTCGTGGTAAAATTGCAAGCCTGGCTAAGCTGACCACAGCAGACCATGATGCTGTGATATTCCCTGGTGGATTTGGAGCTGCCAAAAACTTGTGAGTGCCAACTAAGCATTAGACTCCTCAACTAAATATTCCTAATTAACTTTTGGTAATGAGCCTGGAGAAGAGAAGGCTTTGGGGTGACCTAATTGCAGTCTTCCAGTGCCTGAAAGGAGCCTACAGAAAAGATGGACAGGGACTTTTTACAAGGGCCTGGAGTGGCAGGACGAGGGCAAGTGGCTTCATATTAGGAAAAATTTCTTTACTGTGAGGGTGGTGAGGCACTGGCACAGGTTGTCCAGAGAAACTGTGGATGCCCCATCCCTGGAAGTGTTCAAGGCCAGGTTGGATGGGGCTCTGAGCAACCTGGTGTAGTGGAAGGTGTCCCTGCCCACGGGGGACACCTTCCACAGAGGAATTGAAACTGGATGATCTTTAAGGTCCCTTGCAACCCAAACCATTCTGTGATTCCGAGAACTGTGATTCACACAGTAAAATCAGGAAGCAATAAATGGCCTTATTTACTATATATGTAATTCCTACTTCAAAAGCAAAACTCCTTTTAAAGTCTTACCATTGTCTTGTTTTAAATTTTCTGAACAATGATGGTGAGAATTCTGGAGTTTATGTATTTTCCTACACCTAGAGGTGTTTCATTTTGGGACTGAGGGAAGTGAAGGTAGAACTTCAATATTTTCACATGTTTGTAGTGTTATTATTCTGTTTCTTCCTCTCTGCCTACCAAAAAAATCCCCCCTTGCCTTAGTAATGATAATACAATAGCTAGTTCAAAAAACCTAGCTTTTTTTAAGCTTTGAGAAACATGAATGTTATTTCCCTTTTCTTCTTTACGTTTTTTCCTTTGAAAAGATTGCTGTTCCACTTCTCAGTAATCCTAGAGAGCTGATTTCATAATTCTTGTTTCTAGATGTTTATATCAAGTAAGGAGCTTTCTGACAAACCGAAGCCTTGGAAGTGAAGCATTTTGGCTAAAGCATTGATGGTCAGCTAGAGACTTTTTCAACCACCTTTTAGAAGCTGTTAAGTTTGTGATGACCCTTAGGAGCCAGTCTCAGGGCAGATACCTCTGTAGGTTTATACTGAGTTACGTATAAAGTTTCTTCCTGTGACAGATCAACCTTTGCTGTTGATGGGAAAGATTGCAAGGTGAACAGAGAAGTTGAACGAGTCTTGAAGGACTTCCACAAAGCAGGCAAACCTATTGGGTATGTATGTTTTTCAAGATGTGTGTGTGTGTGCAGGTGTTTGTCAAAGAAGCAGCTAAGAAAATTCTGAGTGGAAGTTGCCTTGTGATGTCTTTCAGATGTGTAAGGCTGTGTCCATTTGAATCTTTTCAGTTATTAGCAAGTTTTGAAAGAGTGTAGAGTTACAGTTCCTTCTGTTGCAGCCTGTGCTGCATTTCCCCAGTGTTGGCAGCAAAGGTTCTCTCTGGTGCTGAAGTAACTGTGGGCCACGAAGAAGAGGAAGGTGGCAAGTGGCCTTATGCTGGGACTGCAGGAGCCATCAAAGAGCTGGGAGCAAAGCACTGTGTGAAAGAAGTAACTATATCCTTTCCTGATAATTTTCACGTTGAGAGACAGTTTGGAAGTGTGTCATTAAAGGAATGAATGTATGTAGGATCTGGGCTTTTCCACTTAGAGTTTCATAGGAATATTTAGTGTAAAGCAGATAGCATGTGATCCAGTGCAGGATTAGAAACATTGTCTTCTGTGTACAGCTGTGTAACTGCACAGCTGTGAGTCAGAGTATCATTCTCAGTTATTGCCTTGGAACTCCCTTGGACACCTGGAAATGCAGTAAATACTGAGTGAGTCTGCACATAAAACTTGCACAAGTTACAACTGGTTGGTTCTCTTTGAGATCTTTGTTCTTTTCCTGAAGGCTAGTGCTGCAATCAGACTGTACTCAGAGACATCTTATCACAGTCAGTGAATTTTGTAGGTTTTCTTGTGTTTCCACAGATTTCACTTGTGGCGTTTGTATTTCTGGCAAAAATAGCTTCTACTATCTTGGATTATAGGCTGCAGCTGTCTTTGCAGCTGAGTGGTATAATGTATTTGGAGGTGCTTTTTTATAGGATAGTGGAGTTGTGAGGTTTTGTCAGTGCTGGTTCATTTTGCAGACACAAAATGTCTGTGTTTTCCTTAACTCCCTTTTACGAAGCTCACGTGGATACAAAAAACAAGGTGGTGACTACCCCAGCATTTATGTGTGAAACAGAATTACACAATATCTTCGATGGCATTGGGGCAATGGTAAAAAATGTGCTAAAACTAACTGGCAAATAAAAAAAAGAAAAAACAACAACACCAGAAATGTTTAAATTTAGGGCATAGTATCAAATATATCATGGACCAATGGAAACGTTTTCACCTGCTTGACCTGTTCACACTCTAGTGAATGCTGATACCAAGCTGATTGATTCCCAGCTGCAGGAATTTCCATGCCTTTCTGAGGGAGGGGCCTTACAGAGGACAAGGAGCCTGGCCTGAGACACAGAGCATTTTTTTGGACCTTTTGCAGCTGGAGAGAGCCGTGTGGGTGTGTTCTGGAACAAGTCCTCTCGATGCACCAGTGTCAAGCCAGTTCTAATAGGGCAAAAAGAGACTTGGAGGCCCTTTCAGAAGCTGAGGGCAGATATTTTGTAGGGATTTGGCACGTGTAGTGGCAGGACATGTGGTGATTGAAGAATGGGAATAGAGAGGAATGAGTGCATGGTTCAAGGTTTATCTGCTCAGGCCTGTGTCTGTGAACTACAAGCCAGGATCAGCTGTTGAGGGAGTAGACATCTTCCACGTCTTAATTTGGCTTGGTATTAATTAAAAAGCTATTCTGAATATCAGTCAGCAACAGGACACAACTGCCACAAGAGTAGCACTTTGAAAAATTCATCCATTGGCCCATTATAGTTTTAAAAGGTCTTGAAATGAAGGAGAAAATATCTGCTGATGTGACGCACAACTTTTAAGGACAGCATCCGTGTTAAAGCAGTTGTATGACTAGTAGTGAATGGAAAAAGCAGCCTCAAATTATCCTAACCTCCCCTGCTTTAGGGTAATAAAGCTTTCTCCAAAGAAATACTATTGAATGTCTGGAATAATGATGTATAAATAAATTAATTTCTGCCTTTATGTCATCCTTGTCGCTTCACTTTTGTTTGACTGGTGCATTTTAGCAGTTTTTCTGCATTTCAGTTCACTTCTTTGGTACATTTTTTCATATAGAATCCAGCAGAAACTGTGAAATTGCATTATGAAATGACAAAGAGAAGGAGTGAAGTTCCAGTATGAATGTCAGGCATGCTCAACTTGCTCAGTCAGTGTTCATGGAATGAGCATTTTTTTTTGCTTCTGGAGCCTCTAATTTTTTGTCACTAAAAAAACCCCACATTTGGATTTAGATGATTTGGATTTTCTTCTTCAAAGCTGGCAGTGTTTTCTTGGGGGATTTCCTAGAGATTCCCTGTGCAGATCACCACATCCAGTGAGGAATCACACAGAAACCAAGTCATCATGGTAGCAGGCATGGTTCATGAAGTGGATTTTGGACATTCTCTGAAATCTTTTTTGCTTTTCCATCAGATTCTTCATGAAATTATCAAGTTGGGAAGAAACAGAATTTAAAACACTGCTAATATATAATTGAGTGCAAAAACTTTCCTCTGAGTTTTGCTTGTACAAAGTGGATGTTTTTAGTATCAATTTTATACACAGAGGCTTAGCAAAATATGGGAGGTCATTGTTCTTATAAAATGTAACAACTCTTTAAAGTGAATGTCTTTCCTACATCAGCAGGAGTTTTAAAAGAAATTTGGTAACGTAAGAAAGTATCACAAAACAGAAATGGTATTGAAATCCCCAGGGCAGAGGGAGAACAGCTGCTGCCTGTGTTAACAGTACCCCTCTGCTTCAAGAGTGATCTAAACTGAGCTCAACTCTTCCTCTGAGTTAAATCTTCCCATTAACTCCCTCGCCACAGCAGGGTTCTATGTATGAATTTAGGGTTTCTCCCATGGTAAGTGCAGCTGTGGTGGCACAAAGCTTTCTTAGATTCTGAATCTTAGATTCAGGTGCCCTGACAAATGATGATTTTTCGAAAACATTGCTGTTACCATGCAGTGACCAGCTGTTGCATGTTGCTGGTTAGATCATCCAAATGGGGCCTCTTTACAGTCCTCTGACATTCTTCCTGGAATCCAGACACTCAAGCCATGAAGATGCCAATAATCCTCTGTATACCTTCATGTTCATCCCTGACTTGGTGACTTGGTGACAATCCAGGCTGGATTGTCACAGTAGCATATGCTGACAATCAAGTGTGCAAATTGAACAGCTCACCTAATGTCAGCTCACTGCTAAACAACAGCAACACTCTCAAATGATGGCCTCAAACCAGTGACTGTTTGAGGGCTGGGGCTGTGAGTTGTAAGAAGAGTTACTAAGGATCCAGTTCCTCCTCAGGGCCTGAAACATCTTTCAAGGTAGTTACAAAAAGCAAGCTACCCATACTGTTGTCAGTGCTAGAAGCTTGGGCATTTACTGGGGATGGGACAAAAATGTGGACTGGGGAAATCAAGGACAAAGTTTTATTTTCAGATATACTCACATTTTAGACCTTCTTTTTACCTTTATTTAATTTCTCTGAATTTAGACACAATGTTTTTTTAAGGGAGAAAGAATCATGTAGCAGAATTGCCTTTTTTTCATTCTCTCTGATTTCACAGTAATGTCTGACTACAAACCTTTGGTACACACATTTTTCAAGGTATTTTCTTTTTGTTTTATTGATAGAAGACTATCATACTTCAGCAGAAGAGATAGGATTGTCGTCTTGGATTTCAGCCAGTGTAAATTTGGAGGGAAATTCCATGTGCGTTTTGAGAATTATTAATAGAGACATTTGCTTGCCAAGCTGGGTTTTTCCTTTCCTTTCCTTCCAAAGGGCTATTAGGAGCTAGTGAGGGGTTTGCTACTTTGAGCCAAGTGAATAGAAGTTTATGATTAATATGTTCTTTTAAATGCCATCAGAAATAAGGAGTGAAAGAGGCTTCTCCAAGCCTCCACGAGAAGGCACAGAACACCTGGCTTATGGATTCCTGACATTTCTTATCTTCAGGAAGCATTTAAGAGCTTTGTCCTGCTGAAAGGCAGTTGTAATAAATGTGTTCCTACTTGTGTTGCTTTTCTAGAGCTGTGATGGGGTTAACTTTAGGGGTTTGGGAGGAGTTATGTTTCTTCCTGCCCCTTTTTGCCTCCTTTGCGGTTCCACACAAACCCAGTTTTATGAAATGTTGCTCTGTGGGTTGTTACAAGTGCTCACAAATTTGACAGCAGTGCTTTTCTCTTCTAAAAGCAGAAATAAGGGTTGGGGATTGAAAAGCCCTTTTCGTTTTTCCCCTTCGGTTTGTGGCTACATAGAGACACTTTTTTCTGGGAATAAAAAGCCAGCAGAGGGCACTTGGTGAACAATGTTCTGTGCAGGGTTTCACTTACCCAGGCACGATATTCCAGCTGTACGACAGCTGGAAAGTAGGACAGCTCTGTATGACTGTTTTCTTGACATTTTGGAGGCATAGAGTAAAACAAATATTGCTTCCTACTGGTTTAACAAAAATAAATAAGGCATCTTATTCCATTGCAATGAATGCATTTGTCACACTGTCTTGTTAAGACTCATTTCTTCAGCACAGTTACCTTTTATTTATCTCCCTGAAAGTATAATAGCAAATATACAGAAATTAAGCTCTAAACCCTTCCTGTGATATCTATAACTGAAAAAATGAGGAACAGTGTAGTATAAAGTCATAAAAGTACACAGTGGGCTTTGTTTTGGTTTGGTTTGGTTTGATTTGGTTGGTTTGTTTTAATGGGGGTGCTTTGGAGGGGGTTGTTTTGTTACTTGTTTGTTTTTTAAATACTAATGCTGTTATAGCCCAGATGACCTATTACCAAGGTTTGTAGGGAGGGACTTTTATCAGGCCAAGAAATACCCCTTGAAGGAAACACACTGTTTCCTGAAGCATCTGCGTGTTTCCAAGCTAGCAGTATCTTTTATGTATATGTGCCTTTTTTTTTTTTTTTTCAGAGTGGGAACTTAGACAATCCTCCATCTGCAAATAATTGAGCATTGCCTGCATTCCAGGGCTTGAGCCTTTTGTTTGAGCTGGTTTTCTTCCTCCTTTCTGTGGCTTGAAGTGGCTGAGGGGAAGCTTGCATGTGGTGTGGGTCAGCCTTAGCCCTCAAAAGAATTAAGGAGCTGATATTTGGTTGTTTTCTCCAGGGTGATTTCAGTGATATCAACATCTCTGCAGAAAGAGAGAGGGGAAGAGAAGGAGCTAAACTTGGACTATCCAAGAAGCTGAAACAGAAGTTGCAGCAAGGATTGCAGCACCCAGAGACATATGATTTCATGATGCATATTTAAAATAATCACCTTCCTTGCTTGTTTACAGTATTTTTTAGTACTCTGCTCAAATGCTGAGTGTCATACTTTGGGAATGACTGTCCTCAGGCTTAGCTGAATTAATGGTGAGAGGTGTCCCCACCCATGGCAGAGGGTTTGGAGCTAGATGATCTTTAAGGTCACTTCCAACCCCTAACATTCTATGATTCTGTATCAAGTATACCCACACTTATTTCTTGCTGATGTTCTATATGAGCCATTTCCATACATCATATTGAACGAAAGGGAGCTCACAGAGGAAAACACTAACCAGTTAATCTGGCCTCACTGTAAATTTAAAGTAGAAGATGAGCAGACTAACTCCTTTTTGTCTCTTACCAGTGTCCCTTTCAAACATGAAAAAATGAGCTCACTTTTACAGCCATTCTTTGGCAAGAATAATGTACAAGGACATCTTAAAAATTTCTTTACTGTAGCAGATTATCAGCCTTATGCTCTTGCCATATGGAATACATAGGTGTGGGCCACCAAGGTACTAGAAGTGGGAGAAGTGGAGATTCCTCCTCCTTAAATGTGTGAATTGTTATTGTACTCATTAGTTTTCAAAGCTGTCCCTCTTGTTCACAATGAAATGGAAAAAAACCACAAGAAGTATGTGCTGCCCATGTTCTGCATGTTAAGTGAACTTTCAAGACAGACACTTGCTGTGTCACCACTCAGAGAAGGAAGGACAAGTCAAGGTCTGCCAGCCATTCAAAACTTCTCCCAGGAAATCTGAAAGATGGTCATACATAACCCCTGGGAATGGCTTTAACTACAGCTCTGGGAAAATATAATAAACAGGGATGTTTAAACATCCCAAGTGCTGCTGCAAATCTGAGTACTAAACAGTAGAGTTGTAAACAACATGTAGAGGGCATCCAGGCCCTTCTATAGTCACGCAGCTCACACTTTTGAGTGGAGGTGCTCATACAGCACCAAGCAGAACACAGAAATCACAGCAATAATTATATTTAAAAACAGATGGATGATACAACAATGAAATAAATGTTATTTCTGTCCTCTGTATCACTGAGCAGAGCCCCTGTCAGGGCTCCTCTGTTCCCTTGTAGCTCAGTTCTTACCTGCTGCTCTTGCACCTCCGGGTCACCACTTGTGCCCTGGCTCAGTTTCTCTTCCCATCTCTGGCCAAGAAGCACAGCAGAGCAATTTTTGGAGGGCGAAAAGGATTGGTGTCAGGAAGTGTAATAATTTGGAAAATACCATGCACCTCCTTCTCCTCCTCCTCTTCCTCTTCTTAAAATTCAGATCCTCATTCTTAAAAGTCTTGCTCTTCAGGAGACAGGAACTGCTCAGCCTTTGTTCTTGTGCCATACTGTGAGGGTATCATGTTTAGTGATATGTGACATTGATGATAGCCCTTTCTTCTCAAAGGCTGAAACAAAAAAAGTAATTTAGAGGGAAAAAAAAAGAGAGAAAAAAATGATTAAAAAACAGATGTGGGAATATTCTGTTTTTTCTCTTTTTTTTTTTCACGCCAACTTAAAAATTCAAGTGAAAGAAATTCATTATCAGAAGAAAAAAAGAGAGAGAAAAATCACATTCTGAAAAATTTTCAGTATGTTCTTGGGGACATCTTTGTGCATCAGTCAGTTTCCTGTTTCCAGCAAAGTTTTATATTTTTTCCATAATAATAATAATCATGCATCTGGCTCCCCACACCACGAGAGCTTT